CAGGCAGATCTCTGTGAGTTCAAGGCCAGCCTGGTCTACATAGTGTGTTCAGGCCAGCTGGGGCTACGGGGAGACCCTGTTTCAAAAAAGATTAAAAAAAAAAAAAGACATTTCTTGCTGGGTGTGGTAGTGTACGCCTTTAATCCCAGCACTCGGGAAGCAGGGGCAGGCAGATCTCTGTGAGTTCCAGGCCAGCCTAGTCTACATAGTGAGTTCCAGGACAGCTGGGGCTACAGGGAGACCCTGTCTCAAAAAGACCAAAAAAGAAAAAAGAAAAAAAAAAAAAGACGTTTCTTTTAAGATGTTTGTGTGGAGTTCTCTTGCTACAAATGGCCTTCTTTGCATGTGGAGGTCAGAGGACAACTCGTGAGGGTCAGTTCTTCCCTTCTACTATGTGGGTTCAGGGATCTGGGGATCTGAATTAGGTCATCAGACTTGGCTGCAAGTATCAGTACCTGCTGAGCCATCTTGCCAAACTTTCACCATCTTTTTTCATTCTCTCACACAAATTGAAATCTAGCCGGGTGTGGTGGCGCACGCCTTTAATCCCAGCACCTGGGAGGCAGAGGCAGGTGGATCTCTGTGAGTTCGAGACTAGCATGGTCTACATAGCAAGTTCCAGGCCAGCTGGAGCTACAGGGAGACCCTGTCTCAAAAAAGATTTAAAAAAAAAAACAAAACAAAACAACAACAACAAAAACAAATTGAAATCTAGGAAGCCCTTGCTGAGGAGTCAATTCAGAATTAGGTTCTTTTGTATTGTCTTTGTTACTTTTTTTGAGACAGGGTCTCACTGTATAGCCCATGCTGGCATCAATCTCTTGATTCTACCTTATCCTCCCAAGTGCAGGAATTATAGGCATGTACCACCATACTCTGTGGTGATCCTACTCTATGAGGGATAGCTATTTCTTGGATATTTCTGAGTCTGGAACTCTTAGGGCCTGGGATTCCTTTTCTTCTCCATAGCCTGCCTCTACCCAGCAGCTAATTCCACCTGGGCCTCCAGGTCCCATGATCCTTTGACCCCATACTCTCATATGCTGAAGTTCATGGAACATCGAGGCCTTCACTGCCAGCGTGGACAGTGGGCTCATTCCACTATCCTAGGTGCCCTATTTTTCTGAAGGAATTTGGAGAGATTTCACAAACCTCCACTGTTGCAGTGTTTGTCTTACCCTTGCCCAGGGTCCGTGCCTACTTTCTCCTTGTATGTAAGTGACACCTCTGCTCTTCTTTGGAACTCACCTGCCTTTTCTCATTCTTTTTAACCAATTCACATGGTTCAGCAGGAAGCTGGCTCGGGCCCTCCTGTCTCTGCTGTCCCTACTGCCACCCATTTCTTGAGCTCCCTCTGTGTATGTGCTGGAGGAGAGCTCCATTTAGGTTTTGGGCCATTCATATGGTCAACAAATACTTTCAAGCGCCTCTCATGGCTAAAGCTGTTCTAGACTGCAGTCCCCATCTGGGTCCTCATTTTGGTGACCCCTCATTTGGGAACCGAAGATTGAATGGCCAAGGTTCTGCCCACAGTTGCTCAGTAGACCTTGAACAAATCATTCCTATTCTTTGACCCTCAGTTTCCTCTTTAATAACATGAAGCTGTTGAGCTAGAACAGCAAGCTCCCTAGAAAAGTCAGACGGTAAAATGTTTTAGTTTGAGGGTTATACAGTCTCTGTTACAGCTGTTCCACTGTCAGTCACACAATAGATACCAAATGACAGTAACTTTGTTCCAGTAAAAATTTGTGGGAATAGGGGCTGGGGAGATGGCTTAGTAATTAAGGTGTTTGCCATGCAAGTGTGAAGACTGGAATTTGGATCCCCAGAACTCATGTAAATACTAGGTGGGTGTGGCATGCCACCAGTAATTCCAACCTCAGAAGGCAGAGACCGGGATCCCCCGAGCAAGCTGACCAGGGAGACCAGTCTTATTAGTGAGCTCTGAGTTTGACTGAGAGACCTGCCTAATGAATAAGAGCAATCAAGAATGATTCCCAACATTAACCTTGGGCCTCCATACGCATGCATATAACATGGGTGCCCACACACGTAAAAAATGCACATATAGGACTGGAGAGATGGCTCAGCAGTTAAGAGCACTGACTGCTCTTGCAGAGGACCTGGGGTTCGATTCCCAGCACCCACATGGCAGCTAACAATCATCTGTAACTCCAGTTCCAGGGATCCAACGCCCTCTTCTGGGCGCGGCCTCTCCTGCCTGGTCGGGCTGGCGCGGAGCCCTGCCCTCTGGGAATGCACCTTCCGACTGAGGGAGGGCCCCAGCTAGGGCCGCGCGTGGCCCTAGTCTCAGACCTCCCCAGGAGCCAGGGAATGACTGGCACTCAGCGCGTGGCCCCACTGATGAACTTCCCTCCGCCCTCAACACCCTCTTCTGACCTCCTCGGGCATTGTACAACACAGGTGCACCTACCTACATGCAAGCAGTACAACCGTATGCATTAAATAAAAATTATTTATTTATTTATATTTATTTATATATTTATTTATTTTTATTTATTTTGTCTTTTTGAAGCAGGGTCTCCCTGTAGCCCCAGCTGTCCTGGAACTCACTATGTAGACCAGGCTGGCCTTGAACTCACAGAGATCCGCCTGCCTCTGCCTCCCAAGTGGTGGGACTACAGGCGTGCGCCACCACACCCTACAAAAATAAATATTTTTTAACGTGTTCACATGCGCGCGCGTGCACACACACACACACACACACACACACAAATGGAAAAAGAAAAAAAATGTGGGACTAGGAGCAGATAGTTTGTCAGCCCCTGAATTTGGCCCTGAGCTTTGAAGGTCTCTTACTCCCCTGACATTTGTTCATCAGGATTGCCCTAAAGAACCTTCTTCAGGAGCCTTCTGTGTCCTGGAGGTCTTCCAGCTTCTGTTCGCCTGTCACAGGGCTTCTGGGGATGCTGAGTCTAAGCAGAGTCCACCTGGAGGCTATGTGGAGCCTTGTCCCCTCCACAGCAAGGAAAGTCAGCCAGCTAGAGTAAAGTGAGCAGGCGCTCTGGCATCCAGCTGTCACATATATCAGCTGTTTTGCTCAACTGAAGTGCAGGAGGATGGGAAGGATAGAGACCAGCAGGGAGGAAGGTTGAACACCGAAACTCTACTGGCTCTCAGGGTCCTTTCCAGTAACAAAATACAAGGTTATCCCTAATGTTTAGAATTTTAACTCTCAGCTTTTCTCATGGCAGCCAAAGGGCCATGAAGGATGTGAATGCCTCTGAATGAAGCAAGCTAAGAAATTCAAGGGGACTGACTCGTGATGTCAATGAGTTGAGCATGGTGATATACACCAGCAATGCCAGGACTCAGGAGGCTGAGACAAGATCATGAGTTTGAGTATAGCCTGGACTACAGTCCCAGGCCTTTATCTAAAAAGGAAAAAACAAAGAAGAAAAAAAAAAAAGAGGGACTGGAGGGATGGCTCAGTGGTAAAGAGCACTGACTACTCTTGCAGAGGACCTGATCCAATTTCCAGCACCTACATGGCAGCTAACAACAATCCACAACTCCAGTTCCAGGCGATCCAGTGCCCTCTTGCCCTCTTCTGGACACTGCATGACATAGATGCCCTTATATACACACAGGCAGAACACTTATACAATAAAAACAAATTAATTAAAAAAAAAAAACCTTCAGGGGGAGGGACACTGTTGTGGAACAACTGGCCTTGCTCTCAGATGACTCTCCTTGGCCACTGAGATGGAATGCTGAATGCAAGCTCTGTGGGTATTGAGACCATCATCATATCTTCTGCTAAGACATCAGCTTATAAACACCAACAGGATGATTCTAAGAAAAATGTGTATCTTTTTAAAAAGAAAGTCAAGGTGCCCATAGCTAAAAGGAAGAGAGGGTAAATACAGGGAGCAAGTGGGACAGATAGGAAGGGAGGTGAAGGGACCTGTTTGCTGAGTATGAATCTGAGAGTGTGCTCAAAGGAATCAGAAAATGTGATCTTTTACTGGGGAACAGTGTTGGAAGGGGGAACAGGGCAAGTGGTAGAATTAGGAGGGAGGATTTGGAAATGACTCCCCCTCACACACACACAAGGGTCAGGTTCATGGCATGACCACCCATAGCTGGTCCATGAAAATCCTTCCAGGTCTACTATGGGATTACACACACACACACACACACACACACACACACACACACACACAAAGTGCCCAGTGAAGATTGAGTGAGGGGATGTTAACAAGGTCCAGATAGTGGATGGCAAATATTCCCAAGATTACCCAACACCAGCCTCCAGGACATCGCTAATGTTCATCTCATTTTAAATTCAGACCAGAGTGGGGAGGACCCTTTCTGGCGGGGGGTCGGGGGGTCTCTATAAACATCAAGTCTGGAACTGTGTGCTGTGGAATGAACTAGTGATATTACTGGGGGTTGATGAGCATGTGAGAGCAAATGTTACAGGACATCTGAACCTCAGGATTCAGTGAACAGAGACACTGGGTCAGTGACCTAGTATGGCTTTTTGAGCTCTCATATCCCACAGTTTTACAGATCAGTGTTGTGGGCAGCCAGGCTGGGTGGCACACAGTGATGACCATGTGTTGTGCCCCTCTGTGTCTTTGCAGTGCTGATGGGAATTTCCAGGTGGATGACAAAACCAAAGCCCTACTCAAGCATACAGGGGAAGTGACTTGGATCCCCCCAGCCATCTTTAAGAGCTCATGCAAAATTGACGTGACCTACTTCCCTTTTGACTACCAAAACTGCACCATGAAGTTTGGCTCCTGGTCCTATGACAAGGCAAAGATCGACCTGGTCCTGATTGGCTCCTCAATGAACCTCAAGGACTACTGGGAAAGTGGCGAGTGGGCCATCATCAAAGCCCCAGGCTACAAACATGACATCAAATACAACTGCTGTGAGGAGATTTACACTGACATCACGTACTCGCTGTATATTCGCCGCCTGCCCCTTTTCTACACCATCAACCTCATCATCCCCTGCCTGCTCATCTCCTTCCTCACCGTGCTGGTCTTCTACCTGCCCTCTGACTGTGGCGAGAAGGTGACACTCTGCATCTCTGTGCTTCTCTCTCTGACAGTGTTTCTCCTGGTGATCACTGAGACCATTCCATCCACCTCCCTGGTCATCCCCCTGATTGGGGAGTACCTCCTCTTCACCATGATTTTTGTCACCTTATCCATCGTCATCACGGTCTTCGTGCTCAATGTGCACTACAGAACTCCAACCACGCACACAATGCCCATGTGGGTCAAGGCTGTGTTCTTGAACCTGCTCCCCAGGGTCATGTTCATGACCAGGCCAGCCAGCAGTGAGGGAGAGTCTCAGAAGCAAAGGCCACTCTACAATGCTGAGCTCTCCAATCTGAACTGCTTCAGCCGTGCGGACTCCAAAGGCTGCAAGGAAGGCTACCCCTGCCAGGACGGGACATGTGGCTACTGCCACCACCGCAGGGTAAAAATCTCAAATTTCAGTGCCAACCTCACAAGAAGCTCTAGTTCTGAGTCTGTCGATGCTGTATTGTCCCTTTCTGCTCTGTCGCCAGAAATCAAAGAAGCCATCCAAAGTGTAAAGTATATCGCTGAAAATATGAAAGCACAGAATGTAGCCAAAGAGGTAAATAAATGTTTATTATTACATCAATCATTTAGTCATTCAACAACCATTTATGGTTTCCTTGTTGGCAAGGCATAAGATGGAGGTTAAGAAACCAGATTTGGGCTGGGCGTGGTGGCACAAGCCTTTGATCCCAGCACTCAGGAGGCAGAGGCAGGTGGATCTCTATGAGATCAAGACTAGCCTGGTCTGCATAGTGAGTTCCAGGCTGGCTAGGGCTATGGGAGACCCTGTCTAAAAAAAAAAAGAAAGAAAAAGAAAGCATATTTAGGGTCTGGAGAGACATTCATGCAGGCAAAACACTCATAAACTAAAAATTAATTTGTTAAAAAAAAAAGAAATTGGGCTCAAGTCAGCAGCCTGTGCTCAGACCAACTAGATGTCTTTTTTTTTTAATATTTATTTTTATTTTATGTGTCTGCGTGTATTGCCTGCATGTTGGTAAGTGCACCCGTGTCGTGCAGTGCCCACGGAGGTCAGAAGAGGCTGTTGGATCCCCTGGGACTGGAGTTACAGACAGTTGTTAGCTGCCATGTGGGTGCTGGGATTTAAACCCAGGTCTTCTGCAAGAACAGCCAGTGTTCTTAACTGCTGAGCCATCTCTCCAGCCCCTAGATGTCTTTCAATATACTAGTTACCTCACCTTTCTAAGCCTGTCTTCTCATCTGTAAAATAGGAGGATAAATCTTGTGAGTATATTATTCCCCAAAGTTAGCTACTGGGCTAGGGTTGTCAAGAGAACAGATTAGAAGATGAGCTGAATCTGTCCAGATAGGACTGACCAGAGCATGCAATCTTTTTATTTTCTAATCATGTGCTTTCCATTGAGGCATAATTTGAATGTAGCAAAATGCCTGCCCTTAAGTGTACAGCTCAGTGAATATTACACTGTATGTATATACCTGTGCATATACCTAGGTACATAAACACCTGTGCATACACTTCACACCTGCTGTTCATGCTTGGTCCTTCTAACTGTCTGTACCTGTTCATGGTTCTGGTCTTCTCTCTGAGGATACCATGTTTAAGTCCTTGGTCTATCTGCTCTTAAATTTCTTTTCAAATAGCTAGCCATATCTGAGAGTTTGGGGTTTATAAAGTCCCCTTTCCCAGGAGGGTCAGCCCTCCTTGGTGCGGTGTTGTGGGTGAGGATCCGAAACTGAGCTACATCATTGTTCAAGGATGCTACTTCTCTTCCAAGTGACCTTGTCCCTGAAGATGCATCTCACCACCCCCTGTCTGCCTCTGATCTCCCAGTCCCTTCTGTTGGACTGGTGCTGTGTCCTTGATATGGGAGAAGAGTGGGGAAGCCTCAGGCTCCAATCAGTGGCCCTTGTTCTCTGCCCTTCCTGACAGTCCAGCTGGCTTAGCTGATGTTACCCCCAGTGCCTGCATTTCCAGACTAGCTAGAGTCAATGTAGCAGGGGATAAAGAGCAGCAGAGCTCTCCATGAGGAGCCTCCATGTAAGGCCTTCCCTTACCTGGCCTTCACCCCCACCCTGTGCTGATACCCCCACTCCAGTACCCACCTTCCACACTTTCTCAGTCTTAGAACATAATCTCTTGCTTCTGAGCTATCTCCAGGTCTCGGCTAGGCAAGGGAGTCAACTTGGGCCAGCTCATTATTTTGCCTAATGCTCTTCTTCCTGTGATTCATTAGTTCTGAAGTTTCCAGGGAATGGCCACTATCACCATGCTTTGAAGTGTTAAGACACAAAATCCCTATCCTGGCCTTTTGCAGCACTCCTGCATCCCATCTTCCTTCACCATGCACTGCTGCTACAGGGAGAGGTTTTCAAAGGTACCGTGCAAAATGCCAGGACCTGTAAATCCTTTTGAGAGTAGCTTATTCTCTGCCCCTCTTCTTTAACCTATGCCTGGGTCCGTGGCTCATCAGTCTACTAAAACAGGTATGTGAAATATTGATTGACAATCACTGAGAGTACTGATAAAAGGGAACAATTTCTTTTTGGTCTTTTTGAGACAGGGTCTTCTTGTAGCCCCAACTGTCCTGGAACTCACTATGTTGACCAGGCTGGCCTCAAACTCACAAAGATCCGCCTGCTTCTGCCTCCCAAGTGCTGGGATTAAAGGCATGCGCCACCATGCCCGGCATACAGGGAGAGTTTTATTACAGGGAGAGTTTTATTAGAGGCCAGGTCTTGCTCCGTAATCCAGGTGGCCTTGAATTCAGTCATACTGCCTCAGCCTCCGAAGTGCTGGGATTCCAGGCCTGTGTCATTATATCCACCCTCAGCTTTATACAGGGATAAGGGCCATTTCTTACATCAATGTTGATATTGAAAGTATTATTCAATAAGGAGTCTGTGCTGAAAGAGCACCCTGAGATCGCAGTATCCCTAACCCCATTTTTCAGATGAGGACATTGAGGTGGAAAAAGAAAGAATTTACTCAGATTCTTACTAGAAAGGAGCAGAGCTAGAAGATAACCAGCTGTCTCCACTTCTGCTCTCCACTCTACAGCCTCCTACAGCCTTGGGCAGAGTTGTTTAGCCTGTAGGCAAGTAGGTAGGACTCAGTCCAAGGAATTACAGACCAGTCTTAGGAATTCAAATATCTTGTGGCAAACAGGGCATTATGATCCTAACTTTACCTGTGACTTTGTAGTCACTGTGAGGATACATTTACTCAAGCTCATGATGGTGAAAAAAAAGGCCGCATCTCCCAGCCCCATTTTGCTATGAGTAATTGAATTACAAATTACACGCTACTTCTTTATTATGTGATTACTGCTTCAGAACCATTGGCTCATGGGTTCTGTCTCAACTCAATTGTGGAGTCTTTGCTTTCCAGACTGTCTAGGAGCTTCACTGCCGTAGATTCTCCTTCCTGTTTCAAGCCCACATTGAAGCTGCATTATATGCAATTATTCTTGTGCTTCCTTCCGTCATTTACTTCACCGTCAGCCATTGTTTCTGGGGTTCAGCCTGTTTGGCTGGATATTTTATACTTTGACCTTACAATTGAAGATGGCATTTGGCCAGGTGGGCATTTTGGAAAGGAGCGGTGGGAAAGAACTGGAAGGTGGGCTTGCCTGATGTGCTTGCTTCACTTATGAACAGATGTGAAAAGGCCACTAGTATCTACAATTGAATACAAATAAGTACTTTGAAACAATGGCAAACCCAATGGTGTTGGGTTTTGGTAGCCACTCTAACAAAGGTTCCAAATCCTTCCATAGAACACACTGGCTTTAGTTACTTTATATGAAGGGATTCACTTTAGGAAAACAGGTTGTATCTGTAGTAAGAACTATCTTAAGCCAAACACGTTGGTACACACTTGTATCACAGCATTCAGGAGGCTGAAACAGGGTGATCACATTTGAGGCCAGCCTGAGCTTTAAAGACAGTAAGACCTTGCCTCAAAAGAAAAAAGGACTCTCATTTGAAACAGAACTAACATGGCATGTATTTTAAATGTTTCTCTACCACATAAAGAGAAATTTGAGATTGGTATATATACTAGTACTTTTCTCACTGCAGTGTAGGGAGAAGGGTTTATTTCCACTTATGGTTCAAGAGAAAACAGTCCATTATGGTAGAGAAGCCGTGGTCACCGGCTTGAGGCCGTTGGTCTCACTGCAGCCACAGTCAGGAAGCAGGCAGATGAATGCCAGTGCCCAGCTTGCTCATTCCTTTCTATTTCATCTAGGACCCTAGCCTATGAATGGTACCAGCACAGTTAAGGTGGGTCTCCCCACTTAATCTAGATAACCCCTCATAGGCATGTCCAAAGGCATGTCTCCTGGGTTATTCTAGATCCTGTCAAGTTGACAATAGGAACCATTACAGATTTCCTCAGACCATATCAATTAAACAAAAAAAGATTTCATGCATCAGAGAGATAAAATGACTTCTACTATGAAAACATTATTCAGCATTGAAAGTATATTCATTTCGCCTTTTCCTTCATGCTGTTCTTTCATTTCTTTTTTCAGATTCAAGATGACTGGAAGTATGTCGCCATGGTGATTGACCGAATCTTTCTGTGGGTTTTCATCCTGGTGTGCATTTTAGGGACAGCAGGGTTGTTTCTGCAGCCCTTGATGACCAGAGATGACACCTAAGTTCTGGACTGTATTTGCTTGAGGCTCACTGGTATGTTGAGGCAGATGAGTTTTTTTTAAATCTTTCATTTATTTTTATTTCATGTATATAAGAGCACCATGTGTGTGCAATGCCCACAGAGTCCACAAGAGAGTGTTGGATCCCGTGGAACTGAAGATGGTTGTTAGCTGCCCTGTGGGTACTGGGAACCAAACCTGGGTCCTCTGCAAGAGCATCCAATGCTCTTAACCACTGAGCCATCTCTCCAGCCCGATAGCAGTTTCTTAATAGTACCTCACTTTATCTATTTACCAGCTTTGGTTTTGGTATTTCAAGTTTTACTTATTTTCTAATCATCTTGATTTTGGGCAAAAAAAAAAGTGGAAGAAAAATGTCTAGTATTATAGATAAATGAAGATTTCACTAGCCTGGCTGATACAGAACATGCCACAAGGTTCCTTTTATTGTGATTGAAACCTAACTGGATAGAAAAACTTCTTATAAGCCAGGTGTGGCAGCACATGCCTTTAGACCCAGCACTTGGGAGGCAAAGCAGGCAGGATCTCTGTGAGTTCAAGGCCAGCTAGGGCTACAGGGAAGCTCTGTCTCAAAAAGACCAAAAAACAAACAACAAAAAAACTTCCTGTCAGCCGGGTGTGGTGGCGCACACCTTTAATCCCAGCACTTGGGAGGCAGAGGCAGGCGGATCTTTGTGAGTTCAAGGCCAGCCTGGTCTACATAGTGAGTTCCAGGACAGCTGGGGCTACAGGTAGACCCTGCCCCAAGAAAAAAAAAAAAAAAAAAAAAAAACCTTCCTGTCATAAATATTAAAGCCATTAGCTTGACATCACTATAGATTTCCCATTTTTGTTTAGCCCATGATTTCCTTGAAGTTTCAAACTATTTCAGCAGTACCATTGCTGCTACCATTTCCTGTTCCTTACCGCCTTCCTTTTTTTCCCCCTTACTATCTTTCAGAAGTCCAAGGGCCATGTCTCCATTTTAATTTTGTTTTGGTTTTTGTTTTGTTTTGGAGACAGGGTCTCCCTGTAGCCTCAGCCAGCCTGGAACTATGTAGACCAGGCTGACCCTTACTTACTCAGAGATCCACCTGCCTCTGTTGACGTTAAAGGTGTGTACCACCAGCCCCAGCTCCATTTCAGTATTTACCTTGCTTAATTCCATGTTGTCATACCCTGAGAAATTACACCAGGTCACATTCATTGCTACTGAACTGTTAGTCTATTCAAGCTGCTAATAAAAATTTCATAAACTGGATAGCTTGTACACAAATTTATCCCTCACAGTTTAGGAGCCTGGGAAGTCCAAGATCAAGTTGCCAGCAGGAGTTGGCGTTTGGGGAGGACTCTTCATAAGGACAACTTCCAGTGTGTCTTCACCCGGCTGAAAGGTCTGCACTCTCTGGAGTCTTTCATTAGGGCACTAATTCCCTCATGATCTACTCACCTCCCAAAGGACCCCCATTAACACTATTGCATACTAAGTTTCACCATATGAATTGTCAGGAGCCACATTCAGACCACAGGATGAACCTTCAGAACAGAGCTTCTCCACCTCAGCACTAGCAATGTTTTGGGCTCCGTAGTTATGCTGGGGATGGGAGACATAGAACCCTTAACAGCTCTATAGGCTCTGTCCACGAAATGCCAATGACAAGCCCCCCTCCTTCAGCTGGGAACATGGCAGGACATTATCAGATATTGTCTCAGGGGTAAAACTGGTTCTGGTTGAGAAACATTGCTTTAAACAAATTGAATTCCCCGTATTAAACTTCTGAACAACCGATAGAACGATTCTGAGATTTGAATTTTCTCACTAGTTGTAGCTTTTCTCTACAAAAATAAAAACTGACGCTTGCAACTCACTATGGCTCTAGTTCAGTAAGTCAAAAGGAAGAGTTCTATGAAATTTGTTGATCTATAAATATCTTAATAATGATATAAAAGATGAGGAATATATACAAACTAAAATAGCTAAAAATCAATTTACATTAAACCAAATTTTATTAGTGGTCCCCCATTATAACAAAATGCCTGAGACAATCAACTTATAGAGGAAATGCTTATTTGGGCTCATGATTTTGAGGCTTCAATCCACAGCCACTCACTTAGCCTGTCACTTTTGGTTTGTGGCCAGCTAGTACATCATGGTAGGAGCGCAGGTCGAACAGTCCACCTCATGGTAGCCTAGAAACAAAGAGAATGAGGAAAAGGCTGGGCTCCCAGTACTCCCATGAAGGACACATTTCCAGAGTCCAAACTTTCTTCCAGCAAAAGGTTCCACCACCTCCCAGTAGCACCACAGACGGGTGACCTTTAACATCCTGGCCTTCTGCACTTATTCAAAGTGTAGCATTCTGCCCGTGGTGCCCAAACCCTTCATCCATTTCATAATTTAGTCATTTTCTAAGAGTCCCCAAAGTCTTAATCATTCCAGAATTGCTCAATAGTCCAAGAAAAAAGTATTAAGACTCAAGGCAAACTCAGCTCAGTCCCTGTTTAAAAAAAAAAAAAAGGGTGGGGGGTTTTATACATCCAAGATACAATGGCACAAAGTAAACATTCCTGTTCCACAAAAGAGGCTGTAGAAAGGATCAGACCAAGTAAGAAAACCAAGCAGGTCTCCACTTCTGGCATCCAGAGCTCACAGAGGCCATGTGTGAAATCCCAAAGCCTCGGCAGTCCTGCCCCCATTGTCTCCACACTCTTGGCTCTGCTCATTGCACAGCTTCCCTTGGCGGGTTCTCAACATTCCTGTCACTTCTCACTTGCTTGGGGTCTCCACTGCAGGCTTGACTTGACTCTCCCTTCATACATTGCCTTCTTGAGAGCTGCTTACAGGGACTCTGCCGCACAGTGCTCAGGATCCCAGGCTGTCTTGAAATCGTAGTGAAAGTCTCTCATTCCATAACTCTTGCATTTTCTAGACCTGAAAAACCAGCATTATATGGATGATGCCAGCAACTGCCACCAGCACAAGCTATACCCCAACTGAACAACTGTAGGAACCTCTGAGTATCTGAACATGAGGAAGAAATCTCAGGAAAGTTTCCTAGGTGGCCTGTGTATGCAGGCTGTCCTGGGGCTCACTAAGGAGTCTCCTTTGAGCCTGTAATAGGTGGGTCTTAAAAATTCTTGAGATGTCTTCAAGGCATTTTATTGTCCCAGTGTAAAATTCTTGGCTTTTTAAATGGGGTTAACTGCTTTGGCAAATGTACTCTCCAAGGCAGCACCTTTAAATATACCCAAACTACAAGTTTCTTCTATCTTTCTACTTTGCTCTTTGCTCTAAATTTTCACTGTAAACTTGGCCAAAGCAGCCAGCAATATCCATGTGACAGCCAGATGCTGAGTTGCCTTGCATTTTCCGCTGGCTGATAAATTGGTCATCACCCATGAGCTTAGAAGTCCACAAAATCTCCAGGCATGGACAAAGGGACCCCAAATTCTTTTTGTGGGTAGTTCCTAAGTCTAATTCCCAATGGACTCCTTATTTCCGTCTGGAGCCTCCTGGGCATAACCTTTATTATCCACATTTATTAGCATTCTGATCTGCATCCTTACAGAATCACCTGTTAATCCCGTTAACCTAGGCCTTCTTTAGCCTGTTTGTTCAAACTTTTCTAAATTTCCTCCATAAGCCAATTTCAAAGGCTTCTGAGCCATAGTATTAGTTATAGTCACAAGTACCCTGCTGTTCAGTTGTCTCCTCTGGAGGGAGGAGAGAAGCTCACCAAGTTCATGAAACTCACAAGATACTAGGCTCACCAGGCCCCTACCTGAGGTTGTAAAGGCAGTGAAAAAATTGCTGGGGAAGAGGAAGCTATTCAGTGGTGGTGTTGTCTGCAAACTGCACAGGGGATGACGGTGATGCAACTTTCCTAAGTTGCGGCCCATGCTGAAGTAGACTTTCAGTCAGCTGCCCATCATCTAGCCTCCTGTAAGCAGCCCCAATAAACTTACCGGTTCACCAAGCTGGACTTGTACAGAATTACTTCCTTGCTCTACTACCCTTTTTATTTAAGGTAGACTAGATAAAATAGATAATAATAGATAATAGATGAAGACTCCCCAGGAAAAGTCACACAACAGATTCCACCTTGTGGTATTGACATTCTATATTAGCTTTGTGACACTATGAGAAATACCTGAGATAATGAACTTAATCAAAAGAAAGGTTTGTTGTAGTTGATGGTTTCAGAAGCTTCAGTCCACGGTTGCTTGGCCCACTGCTTTTGGGCTTGCAGCAAGACAGTATATCATGACAAGGAACACATACTAGAGCAAAGCTGTTTACTCATGGTGGCTAGGAAACAAAGACACATGCTGGAGTCTCAGTATCCTCCTCAAAGGCACACCCTTAAGGACCTAAATTCCTTCTACTAGATCCTAATAGTTCCACCACTTCCTCAAAGCACCATGGGCTGATGACCAAGCTTTCCACAGATGAGCCTGTGAGGGACACTTATCTGAACTACACTAGGCTTTCACTCACTAAATGGCATTAAACACAACTAAATGCAAGGGTCCATCTTGTCTTCCAAAAAGTATTGAACTTAAGTAACTATAAATAAATGAGGCGTTTGCTATCTCAACAGCTGAGTTCTAAATCAAATGCAAGGTTCCTGATCATAGGTGAATCAGGACATTTTGAGAAGTTTAGCTGTTTTACTTATGACACATTATACTGTACTGACTGATGTCATGCCTGTTAATAGGCTAAAACTAAATTATATCCCAAGCACCTGATAGTTCTAATTGTTGGGGTAAAAGAGATCATTGAAATATAAGATGCAATGGTGTGCTTATATCAACTTAGAATATCACTTTTCATTTGGTTGCCTGGGTTTTAAGAACAGGGTCTCATGCTGTAACCCAGACTGGTTTATAACTCATAGCAATCCTCCTGCCTCGGCCTCCTGAGCATAGAGATGACAGGTGTGAGCTACCATATCCAGCTTGGAAGATGGTTTTCTCAGAGTGATCTAGACAGAGACATGCCGTACCATTTTGAGATGAGATTTCTGGGACTGCAGTATACTGCTCTGAGGTCAGGGATACAATGAGGAACGTGGAAAAGGGAACTGAGGGGGGGACTGAGGTCAATATGAAGGATATGCCACTCCATGTCCATGAGAGTTGCCTGTTGTATGTTTACAATAGAAGGTAAGTTATAAAAGGAGTTACTCCATTAAAGACTCTTTATCTTTCCTCTCTCTCTCTCGGTCTTTTTGAGACAGGATCTCCCTGCAGCCCCAGCTGGCCTGAAACTTGCTATGTAGATCTCAGGCTACATAGCAAGTTCCAGGCTACTCAAGGCTACATAGTGAGACCCTGACTCAAACAAAACAAAGAGAAAAATCTAAAAAATAAAGTGGCCTTAAAGAGGTTCCTAGTCCCAATTTTTCCATCTATTAAAAATGCTGGTAAGCCGGGTGTGGTGGCTTAAGTGAGTTCCAGGCCAGCTGGGGCTACAGGGAGACCCTGTCTCAAAAAGACCAAAAAAATTGTTGGTAAATAACATCATATTAAGTCATTATTGAACTGAGTAACTGGCTACTTCACATAGAAATATAATGCACTCCATATCAGTGAGTACAGAACAGAAAAATTTTAAAGTATATACATTAGCTGGGCATACTGGAGCATACCTGTAATCCCAGCTGCCCAGGAGGCTAAGACAGAAGGCTAATCGAGCCCAGGAGTGTGGGGCCAACCTGGGCAACTTAATGAGACTCAGTCTGAAAAATCAGACACACAAATTTATATACTAAATTCTGAAAAAGTTTTAAAATCAGTCTTCAAATATGACTGGATTTTCCAGTGCTCAAAAGATGAATTTCATTATTGGCTGCAAGTTAGTATCATTTGCCAAGACATAAACACTCGGTTTCCACTAGTACAGTTTGAACAATGTTTTGCCACTATTTGTGGTTATTACTTCAGGCATGTTCTAATGGACAATATTAAGCCAGTGTCAGCAGCTATTAATCTCTTACAGATTATAAGAAATTATAAATAATTTCATATTTTCATAATTGTGTAGGTGTCATAAGAGATGTATGATTGCTAACTATATTCATAATATATCTCTTGGGAAGCTTCACTTAATTGTGTTTCCAGTGTGAACTGGCACTATGATTTTGGCCCATTTATAAATTACAGGAACAAAAAGCCCCAGAGTTCCAATAATTGAAACCAGAAGAAAAGTCCACAGAAACATCCGATCAAGAACTTGGGCTATGAATTTCCAATCTTCAACAACCTGTTACAAAAAAACACACACATTAAGTACATAAATTAAAACTGCATACATATCTTAATATACAAATTGCATTAGCAAATAATCATTTGTTGTCTCCAAACTGTAAGTGACCCTGTGCTCAGAGTTTCAAGACCACTATAGACTACTTGTTAGCTATAACAAATCTAGACTTCTCAACCTTTAAAGTACATACAAAATGTGTTCCTTTACACGTCAGCTTGTAGTATATTACAAATGGCTTAATAGACTAAGACATGTTACTTATGTTATAAACTAAAAGCACTGTTTTCTTCCTACATAGTTATTTCTATCATTTATTCTTGCCCAGTAAGTAATGTTTACATCTTTTATTTTATTTTTCATCTTTTTGAGACAGGGCCTGCCTGTAGCCTCAGCTGGCCTGGACCTTGCTATATAGACCAGGCTGGCCTTGAATTCAGAGATCCACCTGCCTCTGCCTTCCAAGTGCTGGGATTAAAAGCATGCACAACCATGCCCAGCTTTTCTTTTAATTTTTAAAAACTTATGTGTATGAGTGTTTGGTTGCATGTATGTAAGTGTACCACCTTTGTGCAGTGCTCATAGAGGCCAGAAGAGGGTGTCAGATCTTCTGGAACTAGAGTTGTGTATGGATGACTGTTAGCATCATGTGGGTGCTGGGAACTAAACCTGGGTCCTCTGTAAGAGCAGCAAGTGCTCTTAACTGCTGAACCATCTCGACAACTCCTACCTCTTTTAATTTTTTCAGAGCTGTTGAGAGTTAATTTTATGCCAAATTAAAAAGTCGGTTCACAATAATCTGTATTAGAAAGCTGTTATTCTTCTTTTCCTTTTCAATTACTTTATTTACTTTTGGATTTCCTGGGGACCTTTTAACCTGAACTCATGAGGCTGGAACCTGGCTTCACAGGTGTGAGTAACCTCAAGGGAAGGGCTGCTGAGCCCAGCATCTGAGCACTCAGGGGCGCTCTTCCTACAAGGTCATTTCCTTTCCATGGACTTCCTATTCCTGAGTCTCTATGAAGCATAAGATCTTTATGGGCCAGGCCCCACTCTAAGGAATAACTTACAATTTAGGGAACTATACACATTCTATTGCTACTCAGCAACTAGGTAAATGAAAATAAAACTCATTTCCTGGTTCTTTTGACAATGCTTTGTAGACATTTATTAAATTCCATCTAAGTCTAAATCATTACAAGTACTCATACTTTTCAAGACTCCACTGATAGCTTGAGACCTTATAAGCTAACTTATTTATACCACCACCAAATACTACAATCAACAAGCCTTTGTTTAGAAGTAAGCTGGGCACAGTGGCATGAGACTGCAGTCCCAGCTACGTGGGAGACTGAAGCCAGAAGATCACTTGAACTCAGACATTCAAGGCTATCACGGACAACACAGCAAGATCACCTTTCAAATCAACAACAACAAAAAATTGATCAGAATTTGTCAGCTGGATGTGGTGGTAGTTGTTGTAATCCTAGTACAATGGAAATAGAGAAAAACAGTGGCAATTGAAATTCTGTATTTTGGGGGAAAAAAAGTTCATCAAAACCAATTAGTTAAATACATATCCAATTTTTGCATTTCAAATATTAATTAACCTTAATGGGTCAATGAAACTTATTTTTCCATAAGGCTTTAAACGAAATTTTGTTTTAAGCAAGTTAGGTACTATTACTATTTCCTATGAAAACTCTGAGATTAAACACAGCACATAGAACACCTCATTCCTTGTACTTATTCTTACGGTTATTTATTTAGTTTTGTTTTTTAGAAGACACAGGCTGACCTTGAACTTGCTAAGCAGGCATGTGCTACCATGCTTGCTACCTTACTCCTTTCCATTTTAATAGTATTCTCTTGTAAATGAGTCACAAAGAGATTTTATTTAGAAAAGTCTCTTGGCTGCGCTTATAAAACCCACAGTAGGCTCATTCTTATTAAAACTTGATAAAATTATAATGCCTGAATTCAGAATTCAAACAAAAAGTTACCGAAGATAAATTTAAAGTAAGTCATTCTGAAGTGAAAAACCAGGAGATTACTTCAAATACATACTACTAAAGTTTCTTTAGAGTCATCCAAGATGTGGCTGGGGGAAATGGAAGGGTAAGATTTGTACAATGCAGAGGTTTTATGGAAACAAATTTTAGTAAAGCTCTTTCCTAGAAAAATATGTCAGCATTTCTGGCCCTCAGTCTGTGCTCCTTAAGGATCACACTGAATAACTGACTATGGTCATTTCTTATCTTACAATGGAAGTGGATCTGCATCTGTAAATACTTGCCACAGACCTCTCGGACATCATTCTCCTTCATGACATGTCTTGTGATGTAGCGAATACAACTGAGTGCAGCTTCCAGCGTGTTTCTAGATTTTGGTCCACTACCACTCTCTGTTTCCTCTCTCTGTGTGAAGTACCTGTCTACATGACTTCTCATGCACAGCAGTTTGGGAAGCTTGTGAAGAAATATCTTTCGGACCCAGGGTGCCATAGCATTGTGTGTTGAGGAGGAGCGATGGTGGATGTTGATGGCAAAGACAGTCACCATAATGGAGAGTGTCACAAAAATCATGGTAAACACCAAGTACTCTCCAATCAGAGGTATCACTTTGGAAGACGAGGGTATGATTTCTTCAATAACCAGAAGGAACACAGTTAGAGAGACAAGTACTGAAGTGCACAGACTGATCTTCTCACCTTCATTTGAGGGGAGATAGAAGACAACCACAGTTAGAAATGAGAGCCCAATGCAGGGTATAATAAGGAACAAGGTATAAAAGAGAGGCAGCCGCTTAATCACAAAAGAGTATGTGATGTAAGGGTACCAGCAGCAGCTGTCAGTCCTGTTTCCTTTGTTTCCCATTGCACTCACAATTTCCCATTCTCCATTGTCAAAAAAATCTGTCCTATCTACATCTTGGTCCTCTAGAATTATATCAACCTGGGATCCATCATATGTCCAAGAGCCGAATTTCATGGAACAGTTTTGGAGATCAAATGGGAAAAATGTGACATCTATAGTACAGGAACTTTTGTAGTTTGCTGGTTGTGTCCAGGTGACAGTGCCATTATACCTGACGACTGTTTTCGTACTGGCCCCTTCAAAACGTCCATCTGCACTAAAATAAACACACAACAACAGTGCAGAAATTAAAACC